CTTGTTGATGACGTTTGGGAGCCTCGAGAATGAACCTGAGGGACTCGGCTGGATGCGCGTACGTTGGCAGTCCCGTGGTTTAATTAGAAGCTGACACTGAATCGGAGCCCCTTCGATAGCGGGTCACTGCCCGTGCCCCAAAGAATCACTTTTGGAATCCGTGGATTATGCTGTCCATGCCTATAGCATGGATCATCTGGTAAGAGGCGGCTGCATTTTTCAACATCACACGAAGACATTAAAATAGCTGCAGGGGTGTCCTATTCTTTGCATTTTCATCCTGGCTTTCTTTGGCGTTCGGGGCCACCGACGAGGCCGATGAAAATTCTCGGCCGTCCCCACATCAAGAGTACGGACCACGAGCCATCACGACGTTGATATTTGTTGTAGGGGCAGTTTATCTAGTGTTGATTGTCCGTGCGGTGAGAGGGATTGGGGCGACTCGTAACGCGTATATACCACTCCGTTCCATCTAGTCTGTGGCTCTCGTCGGGCATAATAGCTATCCATCATGTGGATATTTGAGAAACTCGGGCCGCCCATTTTGTCTCGTGAAATACCTCCGTGCTGCGGTTCGTATACCGGAAGATCAGTGCACGGAGGAGGAATAATGCGGCTCGGTGGTGGATGGTCCATGCCTGCGTTTCATCCGCAAATCTTCCATTGGAAATGCAGGAGTCCCCGTTCAACTCGGGCCCGAGCCATTAGGGGAGAACTCAGTTTTTAGTCTTGCCTTGAAGACTGCAGACTATACCGCAAGATCAGGGAACGAGCAAGGGATACAACGGCTTGGTGGTGGAGGGTCCATGCCTGCGCTCATTTAATCGTCGGCGAGATAACCGCAGGAGCGCCCGTTCAACTCGGGCCCGAGCCATTCTGTTCCGACAAGACAGTGCTTTTATAGTCTACTTATTGCGAAGTCTGACAGGACGGCGTAAGATAAGGGAGCGATACAGGGATATAAGGCTCGGTGGTGGATGGTCCACGCCTGCGCTCATTATTTCATGACGTCCGCGACTACTTAACTGCAAGGGTGCCCGTTCGACTCGGGCCGTTTTATTCCGAAGGCTAGGGATATGGACAATAAAATGTGGAAGTGAGGGAGGGTTAACAAGGCTCGGTGGTGGACGGTCCACGTCTGCTCTCCGTCCACATGTTCTCGTTTGATCGCAGGGGTGTCCGTTCGACTCCGGCCCCAGCCATTGACGCAGAATGTCCTTTTTTCATTCGCCCGCGCATAAGTAGTTACTGAGTATACTCGGGGAAGTGGACGTGCAAATGAGGGGTAACAAGGCTCGGTGGTGGACGGTCCACACCTGCGACTCGTGTTGTCTGTATGCAGGTCTTTCCACTTGCAGGACGGCCTGTTCGACTCAGGCCCGAGCCATTCAGAAATCTCGGCAATTTTCTTTTGGCTTCCGCGATGTATGCGGAGGACGAGTCCATATAACTCGCATCCAAAACCCCAAGCGCAGCTCGCAATGCGTTTTCGGAACGGTGCAATCCAACGTACGAATAAATTCGAAAGATACAAGATACAAATACAAGCGTACGATGGACTGCTTGAGGAGGCGACTACCGTCCGCCGGAAGGAGTCGAAGTAGTGTAGGTCATCGCCGGAAAATATAGCACAAGGTCGTCTTTTTTCGTCGCGGGCAAGTGCCTAGGACTAGGACGCGGCCGGCGGCGGGCGGAAGCTGCCGTTAAAATCCGCCGAGTTGGACTGCGGGATGTCAGCAGAAGGTGGAGACAGGAAGACAGGGAGACGCACGGAAATGTGGGCCCGCGGCGGTGGGCCCGGTGCTGCGCACGCAAGTGTTAGCAAGCCCCTCACGTGCAGAATGGGTGGTGCGTACCGGTGAATACGCCGCCTCAATGCCTCGCGGGCGGGCCCGGGGCTGCATCATCAACGCTACTCGTCAGACCCTCGAGACAGCGTCACGGTGCACCATGGACACGGACGCACCGGAGCATACTGCGCGCCAGAGTCCTTGACGTACGGCGGGGGGGCAAACTCGGCGGCGCCGACGGGCGGGTACTCCGAGTCGCTCGTGCCGGTGGGGTAGGGATACTGCGCGGGGGGCGGGCGGGGCGAGCCGTACTGCATGCCGTGCGGAAAGCCGCTGCCCGCGTGTAGCGGGAGCGGCGGCGCGATGTAAGGCTCGGCGTGCTGCACGCGGCGGTTCTGGATGCCGCAGCAGAGGCTGAAGAGGAGTAAGACGCACATGACTAATGGACCTCTCAGGTGGATCCTTTTGTATTAAAAATCCACCTGAGGTCCGAAGAGGCGGTGCCGGGAGGCGAGGTGCTTCTATTATGTTAGCTAATCCTTTTGGGGTTAAATAGGGCTTCAACCCGTCCCCGTTCTTGACGGGTCGACGGGCGGGAGGGTTTGGACCCGCCCGTCCTGAGCTTGACCCCAAGACCTACGCGGGACGGGTTGACCCGTCGACGGGGTACCCGGAGTAGATAGTACATTGCTCTAACTCGGCTGGAAGGAGAAGCAGCCGATGGACTGGGAGGCGGCCGGTGAATCACATCCGCGGCTTGTTCGGCTCCCAGTTGGGAGCGGTGCTAAAAGACCTCGGATACCCGCTCAATTAGAATTCGTAGGTACAGCCCAGTGCGTGTGCATGATGTTGCAACATTGGGGTTAGAGCCACTGGGTGAGCATGGTACGGAAGGATATCTCATTCTACGTGCTATGCTATTGATATTTACACATCACCGATTCTTTGAACAACAAAACTGTACTTAACACCGGATGCAGATGCTGAAAAGCCCAAATAACGGTGTTCTTGAGCCCACCGGGCGGCGGAGCAGTTACAGCTCGAGGTAATAAAGCGAGACTCGTGACACCAGCGGTTAGATATCGCGGAAAATTTTTGAATGAAAATCACATTGCGATTGACTAGATGTTTATCGTCGATTGAGAGCTGGTCGCGAGAGCGCCAGAAGGGAGCCCCAGATGAGACTAAATTATAATAGGCGAGAAAGCAGAAACAAACTTGAGAACAAAGTGTGTGATAGGCCGATAGTATGGGGAGAAAACCGAGGCATTATGCAAATGAAGACCTCGGTGCTCCGTGGACAGATATCGACTTGAAGATAGGGCATTGAATATCAAATCTTAAATTTAAAGTCGTCAGCCAACAAAGAAATCTCACTCAAGACTGGAATACTGACCTCGGAAACGGCAGAACCGGTGAACCAGGATTGAAGTCTTAGGAGGTGAGTACTAGCACATGGAATGTTACCAGGTCAATTTGACACATTGTGAGATTTTCTTGGATGTTCAATTTTTTGGACCTCGGATGAATGGTTTGCTGCCTCGGGGACACACGGTTAATTCCCTGTATAAAATAAAAACAGACTCGAGGGACACTACGACGATCTGAGGTTGGAATAAGCTGATCATATGCTAGTATATACAAGGTTGGTACGCAATCCACGCGCCGCAAAGCCGATGAGTTGTACATGGATTGGATACGGACATCAGGAGTTAAATTAGACATGGATAAAGGTGAAGTGAACGTGTTAGCAAGGGTTTGCGGGTAACATGGGAGGTGCGTAGTCGAGAGCTTTGCGTGCGACGAGGGGCTGTAATAATGAGAATGATTAGACTAGATTAAAATAATTACGGCCAAAATATGACTCACCTCAATTGATGCCTTGAACCATATATTCTTAAAACGATTTGGGCGGATGCTAGAAATTAGTGGCGCCGAAGCAAAGACCTGAAAAGCAAAGTTGGAGCTGAAGTCAAATTGTAGACGCTGAGAGCGTGAAGGAAGGGTGCATGGATGGATCTATAACCTTGGGGTCTGCTGAAATTTCTACCATAAACTGAGAATAACATGGAGACTGAGACGGAGGGTAACACCGGCGAATGAAGTCCTACATATGGCCACGTATTGCTTGAGTATATCTGCTCGAACGGGAGGGCAATTCCAAGATGTTGAGTGATTATCAATCTGGCGTCACCACCCCGTTCAAAGGTCCCGCCGGAACAGTTCAGCCCCTGCGCGAGTCCAGTCAGTTGTCAACGCAGTCATCTTCAGCCGTCGCTTCCAACACCTAACCCCTAGCGTGACGAGTATTGACATGGCGAATGAGAGATATATAATGCCGGCAATCACATCGGGAAAACCTCCAGACTGTTGCAGATTATCGTCGCCGGTATATTGTCAATAGGCCTACTGCAAGGGTAATTAAATCAAGAAATTTGAGTCTTTCCGAAGGCAACGAGACACCAGCGAGCACACTAAGATGACAATCCGGATGACATTGTGATGAGCACTGGGCAACAGACAAGAAGTAAGAGGAATGTGACAACCAGAATTTG